AGTTTAAAACAGATTTATAACTTTTGTGATTCGGAACCGAACATATTGTGCAAAGATATCTTAAGAAATGGAGAGTGAGGGATCATCCACTTGCATATTAGAATGATGATACCGAGAATGAGAGTTTGCAGTTTAAATTTGTGCATATATAAATATAAGGGTAAATTTTAAAGATTTCAAAGTGAAGCATAAGTTGTATGTTATTGGATTAAATTAGGATATGAAATAATCTTGCTATTTCGTAAAGCTTTATGTTTAATTTTAATGTTATAATGACATGCTATCAAAACTTGGTAAACATTGGAAGCAAAAACGTGGTGCAATTGAATATCAAAGTTTTTGCAGAAAAAAAAATCAATGATATAATCAGAAATGATAATTACACTTTGAATGTCAAACGACACTACGCATGATGGATGTTGTAATTGTTGTGTTTAAATAAATAACTAAAAAAATATATAAATACATACATATTGTAGTGTAGTCATTGTAAATGTAAAACCGAGAACAAACCAACACGAAAGACACCAACACAAAAAACACGTTGTATAACTTTTCACACTCAATAGCTACGTACACGGAGGAAGAGCGTCGTGAGATTATACTGAGCGTTCTGTTTGATAATACACAGACTCTGGTATATATACCCAACACTAACGATAAACCTAACTATAAATAGCTAGAACTTGAGATTACTCCTTAATTGAAGTTAACCTCATCAATCAATTCAATGAATAATTGATCAATATAATTATTCAATATGGCTTAAGAAAGTTAATACTGCTATTTATTGATTTCTATCTTGATCTTTGTCTTTGGATGACAATTTATCTTCCTTTGACCTCGTTATTTAGATAAAATTTTGTCCATGGTTATGTTAAACAAACATTTATAAAGTATGCATTCACAAAGTATTTGCACATTGTAAATATACTAGCAAGAGTAAACAATTCCTTGTTTAAAGTAAATTATACACTCATAATATGTTTTGTTACATTATGTTTCGTCTACTTTGGGATCAAGGTAGTGCTTACGTGGCCTTTGTATCACTCTGATGATATGAATACATTTGTTCCTCCACTACTTCTCAAGACTACTTCGTTAGTTTTCTAAGATTGCCCTCTTGACATATAACTCTTAGTGTTGCTTGACTAATGGAAAGAGTGTCTTTTGAGTTCATAGCTCCAATTGCATGCCTTGTAGCTTGATCGTTGAACTATTTTACTCTCGGACAAATATTTTTCATTCCAATATTTCTGCTTGAATTTTTAACAAATAGAAAAACCAATTTTGAGTCATGTGATCATGAAAAACTTGTAGTTTTCATCAGATAAAGATTAAACATGATTGAAAACTATGTCACAAAATAAATGCTTAACAAAAAAATTGCCTTTATAAAAAACACTGCACTAATTCATGTTAAAGTGATATGTTGTTAAAAAAAATCACTCTCGTAGATTTTTTTAAAATAATCATCCAAAAATTTGACAAATGATCTCGAACGATCTTGAACCTGTTGCTTGTGATACCTTCCTCCCCCATAATATCAATATGGAAAAGATATTTTTTGTTGTTTTTTGTTCAAAAACTTTTGTTGTTGTTGTTTTTACTTGTTATCACTTGTAATTGCCGAAAATGAAGCGAATCTTGTTGTCAAATCTTGAAAATCAGAATTGGATGTATGCTCAAGAGAATTGGAGAAAATCACAAAAGAATGTTGAGGACGTTTTACGATTGGTTCGTCGTGAATTCTTTACACAACTTTATCCATAGACCGTCAAGTCGTAAGCAATGACAAGTTCAAGTTTTGTTCCAAATGATATCGTCATAGAAGCATGTCATCGGCAACTACACTGTTCTTTGATGAAAGAGCTTCTGAAGTCGGTTCGATCAAAGGCTGAAGGAAAGCAAACAACTTACTTATATTGTACAATGACGTGGGAACAAAAATCAAAAGCTGTCTTTTTCTATTTCCACAAGTTGCTTGAAAATATGGATCCGGAAAGGACGTGCTCTATGTTCTCAATCAACCTATTGATCTTTTGAAATTGGATCACACGGAAGATGTACTACAAAAAGTGGATCCAGTATGTTGATTTTTTCAAAGTGTCTAATATCTTTCTTGCACCGCTTGCCAACTATCGAGGAAACTACAAAGATGTGGACGTTTGAAGCAAGGTGGATGTGGATTCAAAATTTTGGAACTCAACTTAAGGCCATTAGTACGTGCACGCAATATCCTTTGGCAATCGTCAAAAGAATTGGAATTATACCAAGCTATCTGTATCCATCATATATATTTTCAAAACAACAAAATCTGTCGATTGTGGGAGGATTATCAAATATCGAAAGCGAAAAAAGTTCATCGTCGAGATGATGATGTTCAAGTGAAAAATCTTTGAGCAAATCGGCCGCATATGATCTGCTAATATTTAATTTGATCATGACAATAAAAATGATCAGACTGAATGGGAACAAAGATGAAAATACTTTCAAAGAGTATATCTCCAGGTTTATCGCAATGATTGGACAAGTTTATGAGACATTGATTCTCTATTCAAAAAGAATCAATATGCCATACCGTCCCTGTCAACTGGTTGCAAATTTGCATTCATCCATTTTTGTTGATCTGTGCAAGTATGAAATCTGCTGGTGTGACTTGTTTGGTCAATGGAGACTAAATATACTTCAATTTTATCCAAAGGTTATACATTTAATTGCTCTAGCGAATGTCAAACAAGTCGGTTTCAACCCTTGCTGAGTACGTCAAGAAAAGTTGCGCAGTTATGATGACATGTGAGATGTTTTAATCACAAATCATCACTTCTATGATTATCATGATCGGCAAGCCTGATGGAAGGTTATCACGAAGATTCGCTTCTTGGTACGGTCTAGCAAAGTTACATTTCATCCAAAGCTTTGGATGTACAAACAATGATGTTGCACTTATCTGGAATGGTTACACTCGTATTATCCAGATGAAAAGATTGTATTGATATGGGACGTCGCATCAAGTCATTCTTCAGATCAAGTCATGGAAAAAGTTGCAGAATTGAACATCACTTTGGTAGGGATTACTGCAAGGTGTACCAATTTGATTCAAATATGCGATTTGATTGCAAACAAACCGATAAAGTAATCTTTCAAGAAGCGGTAGTTTGATTGTGGGTCTGGTGAAAAATACAAAGTATCAAAAAGATATTGTATTGTGACTTGAACAATTGAAGATGTAAATATTATCCAGATGAAAAGATTGTATTGATATGGGACGTCGCATCAAGTCATTCTTCAGATCAAGTCATGGAAAAAGTTGCAGAATTGAACATCACTTTGGTAGGGATTACTGCAAGGTGTACCAATTTGATTCAAATATGCGATTTGATTGCAAACAAACCGATAAAGTAATCTTTCAAGAAGCGGTAGTTTGATTGTGGGTCTGGTGAAAAATACAAAGTATCAAAAAGATATTGTATTGTGACTTGAACAATTGAAGATGTAAATAACAGAGGTCGCAAAGGCTTTTGCTGCATATGTACAAGATTTTTGACGTGAAGATAAATTTGAGTTCACTGCATACTTGGGGAAACACAAGGAAAACGATATCTATCGATGATTTCTTGACAATCAACAATCAATTGACCTGGAATAAAACGTTTCCTGCATTTTTCCATCATTTTTGACCTGTTATGAGCTGATATAAAACTTTCTTGTACTTTTTGAATTTTGTAAATAGTGACTCAAAATTTAACAAAATTATCATTATTTGGGATTAAAATGAGTAGCGATTAACGTTAAGACAACCACTATATGAAAAGATCAAAAGCATTTACTTTGTGAAGTAAGATAATATTAACTGTGTTAACAAGTCGTTCTCATGCCTAACCCTTGATCAGTCTATTCGGATGGGTCATTCGACTTACCTTACCGACATTCTTTATTCGACTAGATACCAGATGCGGTTATGAGTTCAACCCAGCGTCGTACTCAAAAATGCTAGATAAGAAAATCCAACACTTTGAATAGTTCTTCTTATAAAAAGCTGCGCATAACGATCTGAAACTAGACTTTGCCGAAAGTTGTAGGATTCCGAGGCAAAAAGTGCAGAAAAAGCTTACACCACGAAGTCTTTGTGAACTCATAACCCAGAATGGGAAAGGTGAAACCAAGTCTTCTATGTCATGAACCAAACGAGATCTTTTCGCATGTTAGTTTGCAACAAAGGTAACCTACTTTATTGGAGTCCTCTGCAAAAAGCTTTCACACTGCTGGAGATGCTTCGATCACAACAGCATGTGATTGCCTGTGTCGACAATAGTAGAGGGCGATACCTGAAAGATCGAACAGCTTAGGATGTACGCTTTGTCAGTACTACGAGAGTCCGGGTGATGACAAGGACAACTGAACTCATATTTCATGATCTTCATTGAAGATTCTTTGAACTGATGTGCGATCCAGTCACTGGATTGACTCATGATCAAGAGCTTGTACTCGGTGGTATGAAGACTCGACAGTGCTGAACACCTCCCTGGCTTTTGAGGTGCAGTATCTCGTTCCGTGAAGTATTCAGTGACGACTTTGAAGGCATTCTGAGAGGTAAAAGTCAGATCTATCAGGACGGGACGAATCGTGACGTACCGAAGCAGATAAATACGCGCGTGGCAAACTGATCGGTCCACAATGTACAGTGGACCTTGAGGTAATCATTCTTCGGGTCAGGTCATGTAGAAGACTGTCATAGCCAAGACATGTGTTCCTTCACGTCACGGTCGAAGCAGGAAGCACGAAGCATCTCTCCGAAAAGAGATACCTCAGATTGAAAATTATGAAGATAGAAGGAAGCACGAAGCATCTCTCCGAGAAAAGATAACCTCAGATAGAAAAATAGGAAGATAGAAGGGAGCACGAAGCATCTCTCCGGGTGAAGAAAATTGACAGACAGACAAAATTACATCAGACAGAAAATTAGGAAGATAGCAGTACAAGAACATCGGGTCACACTTGCGGAAATAGAACTCATTAGGACGGTTGCTGCATGTACAATTATTTGACCAAAAGAAATGACAACTTGACGTCTACATCACAGTTCACCTTTAGTAGCACTTGCAAGACTTTTTGATCTTGGCCCTCTCCGATAATATTTCTACATAGGTCGAAAAAACAGCCGCTGAGGTTTGCTAAGATCATGTACGCTTTCCAATTCAGCAGATGGGTGAAGCTTTCCAACTGTTGAGGACAGTGCTTCATCACAGACAGGAGGATGATGAGTACCGTGTTTTGTCTTGACGGCCAAGGCCCGAAAAATAGAGCTCCTAGGAAAAAATTGCTATATTAAATGGAAATCACTGGCCTAATGCGTTCATCGGCCCTCAAGAGGCACGGGGTACGTGCCCAGCTGAAGGCCACCCGGTTGGTCTTGGCACTCCCTTATGTGACCATCCATCCAGGCTTGATGGCTTTCGGTGATGTTCAGCGATTCGCAAGCAGGCTTCATCGGATAATGGGTGCAAGGTTGGGAAGATTGGCCCACTAAGCAAGACGCCTTGCCATCGCCTGTGACATTTTCGCCTCTGATGTTCAAGATGTAGGGAGTGAGTCCACCCAAACCTTGAGCGATGTAGCCGAAGGTCGAGTAGGCACTGGTGGCTATCACATCACTGAAGCTCAGCAGCCACATTTCAACCAGCGCGTTGTGAGACTGGTCCACCGAATTGTCCTGCCTGCCGGAGTGAGAAACCATGTGCACCCGGATGATCGAGTTGTCCACATTCGCCTGCCTGTCGAACATCTTCATCAGCTCCTCCTGATACCTTTGCTGCAAGGAGGCTATGAAAACCACCGTGTCCGCAGGGGCTTGATGTCTCCGCATCGCCAGGTACTTCCTCGGATACAAAGCCGAGAGCTGGGTCACGTTCGACCCGTCGCCTTCTTGCATCGTGGGCAGAGCGCGATTGCTGGTCAGACAGTCCATGATGCGATCCTTCACGGCCGGATCGAAAGCAGCCAGATCACCTCGGCCGTGCAGACGGATTTGGAGGCCGAGGCGGAGGCCTGAGCTGGAGAGATAGCCCCAGTAAACCCTGACAATGTGCGCCCAGAGGTCGTTATTGGGGAGAATCAGAAGGCGGCTGATGTAAGTGAAAGCATCGGGCCCGGAGTTGAAGAGAGGCGTGAGGCGGCGCCAGAAGGACGGGATCATGAACAGCTTGGTGACATAATATTGAGTGCTAGTCCACGCCAGCCACGGCACTTTTCTCAGGTGGAAGTGAGTGTCGTCGCAGAAGAATTGCTGGTCGCCCCCGCTCTGCAGATGCTCCAGGTGCAGGTTCACAAGGCTCACATTCCAATTGAGCTCCTTGGCCCGGCCCAGCGCCTGCGCTTGCTCCACTTCGCTGTACGGGAAGTCGTCCGGCAGCAGCCAGGACGAATTAGCGAATGGCTCGCACAGAAGGGACGGCAGAATCTTGCGCGAATCGACCAGCAGAACTCTGTCTGTAGCCAGGGCGTACAGCAGCGCCGAGGTCAGAGACAGGATCCTGTTCCCGAGCCCTGCTCCTCCTTCAATGAAAAGCAGATAGTTGCAGCCGCCGTTCGCCTGCTTGACGAAAACGTCGGTCCAATTTTTGCTCTTGCCCAGCGAGCAGGATCGATGAAGCTCGGCGTAGCGTTTCCACGTCTCGCCCAGAGCGGTGGGCATCGTGAGCTGCCTGTCCTGTCGACGGTACAGATTCTGCTGCGTGCGGCTCACGCACGTAGGGTCGTCCTCGGGGATCACTGGCATGGGCGCCATGCTATCGAGCTTGGACGACAGTGCGGACAGCCCTCCCGACCACTGGCTCGCTGACTCTGCGTCCATCATCAGAGTCAAGGAGAAGAGCAGCATCGATCCGACGCATAACAGGATCACCGCCTTCTGCCAGAACGGCATTCCTCGCTGCTGATGCTTTCCCGGGCTGAAGGCAGTTTTCTCTGTTCCTAGCACCATGTTTGCTCCACTTGAAGCAATTTCGACCGATCATCAACTGCGAATTATTTCCCGAAAGGCAGAGATGTGCCGTAGCGTCATCAACTCAAACCGAAGGTCTCGAATTTAATGGCTTCACAAACCGGTAGTCGCCGGGACTGGGATCTCTGTGACGTGGAATTTGTCAAGCCTCATTCGTGGGAGCTCTTTGTCTTCGGTCAGCTGAGAAGCGCGGTGTGATCAGAATCGGAGAATGCCGCCTCATTATGATCACAATCGCCTACGCAATCGGCGAGGAATTAGAGAAACTACAAATTGATCAATCAGAAGGAAAGAACGACGCAGGGGTTCCCAGTCATGTCATATCTGCCTTCGGCTCCTTCTAATCATCATCCCGTGCTGCTGGTAAAAACACTCTCGGATAAGCCTCCATCAGTGAGCTATGTCACCCACGCACTTTCGATTGGCCACAGATTCAATTGGGAGCAGAGCTTGAAGCATGCATCGTATCTGGCTTGAATTTTTGACAGTTTTAGTCGGATCAAGAACCCCAACGACTCGTCTGCACAGAGAGAGTTACAGTGCACGCTTGCTTCATAGCCAAGTATGAAATTGTTCCTCCCCTCAGGCGAGATGTCCGAAGGCCGATCCACAGAAGTCCTACAAGCAGAGTTACCAAAGCTTTAAACACCATAAGCCAACATCATGCCAACCGAGAAAGGCAGACCCGGCAAGTGAGCTCTTGTGGCCCTTGGCTCCCGGAGCTCAACTTGATTCCATCGATCGTCTTCAATGCCACGATCATGGATGCGCAGTACGGCAACGAGCTGCTGAAACCCATCCGAGTCTGCACCATCAAATTTTGGACTTCTCTACGCCTCTTAATTAAAAAATTTCTCAATTGGAGAGGCGGTCCCTGGTCTCACGAGAGCTCGCTTTAGAGCAGAACGGAAAGCCATGGCCTAAGTGTCGTGGCACAGCGTGGAATCGCTATATGCGAATGGATGCCTTGTACTACTAATAATCTACGCAGTCCCGAGAACCTCATCGCGTTTCTGCATTGCGACCGCGGGCCGAGTGTTGTGTAGAATCTGAACTCGCACGCACGCGAGCGAGCGAGCGACGTGGGCCCGCAGATGCGTGACGTCGCTTGAGTCACGGATCGCTTGTCTCGTTGCGCCGGCGACGTTTTTGTCAGCCACGGGACCTTCCCCGGTGCATGCAAACGTGAACCGGCCGTGGCCGATCGGGGCTTCTGAGCTCGTGGGATATTTCACGGCGTTCTGAAAGCTCGCCGGGAATGAAACTGGGTCTACACCCAAAAGGTTGTATTCTGGTAAGAATGTTTCGCCGGTGAGTGCCCGGTTAGTGAGGTATGGCGACGCTCACGAGCGCTGCTGGTGGGCACGTTTGTTCTTGGAGTCTTGGCACAACGCTGTACACGGCCAGCTTCACGCACCATGCTCTCTAGTTGCCCACGACAGGACTGTCCCATTAGAACTCGCCGACGGCTAAGACTTCAAGACCGCCTCCACTACGCTTTCGGCTCGCAGCGATGTTCCAGCCCGTGCCGAAAGGGAAATGCTTCCATGCAACTGGGCTTCGGTCTTCCGCTGATTGGCGTATTCGTCGATCCGCTCGCCCGCTAACTTATCAATCATGTGGTATCGATCCCACCAGTCGTCTAGATACTATTTTCGTTCGAGCCGCGAGGAGCGGACACTTCATGAGGTCCCGGGGCCAGGGTAGTGGTATAAGGCGATACTCTTGAGATGTAAATCTACTCATTCAGGACTCAGTCAGCAGTGTTGTGTCATGTTTGGAGATAGAGGACTCTGTCAGTCTCGGCCCGTGGTAGACTGGACGGGGATAGAGGATTTCCCATATCTCCCGCTCCCCTTCACCTCAGAATTTACGGCTGGCTGAACATGCCCTCACAAGTTTTCGTGTATGATTCCAAATTGAGAGAGGAGACGCGTTTCATCGAAACATAAATATTGACCGAAACTATTTCGGAGATTGTATACAGCCCATGAAATGTACGGAGAGCCTTTTTCAGAATCCACAAGAAACAGTTGTGTTTCATGTGGATACATAATTTATTTAATATATTCTATCGTGTAAGTTCCGTATCCACTTCTATAGAACGTAGTAGGGATTAGAGCATAGGGTTCTGCGTGAGATATGAAGCAGATTGCACCAGCACATCCTTTAGCGATTATTAAATCAAGCATAAAGGAATTCAAAAATCTACCGAGCCGGCAATGCTCCAAGAAATCGAAAAAAGACGTGAAGATAGCTCACTGCTCCATGGAAATGATATATTTTTTTGAGGTGTTGAAAATTTTTGAATTTGGGTATTATTAATTTCAAGCAGTAGCTAACTTTGTAAGCAATATCTGCATCTAGATGCCAAATAGCTTATTTCATATAAACTTTTGATGCATAAAAATCTTTTAATGGTATGAAATAAAAATACACATGAATATACAATGTTCGGTGCAACTTAAAAGACATATGTTGAAATAACATGAGATCAACCGTCAAGGTTTTACATATTGCATCATTTCTTTCATTCACATTCGATACACAATATACCTTTTAAGTATTTTTGAGTTTAGTTGAGATAAGGCAACAAATACCAAACATGAATTACATGATGATGATGATGTTGTAGGTGTTGATCTTTCTTGGCTTTCTACAATGACGTGAACTTACTTTGAACCTCCTCCTTTAACTAATTTTGGCCCTTTCTTAAGCTCTAAAGTACTTTCAAGATTATTGTTACCTTTATCCACCAACAAACTTCTACTAAGAACTTCTCCACCTTGAACATCATTTGTCTATGATGTTTCAACACCTATATCACCACTCTTTCACTTCCTTCCATCTCTGCTGTCTTCTCGATCACAAATGTCACTCCTTCGCTTTGAGTACTCTAACCTTCTATACTACTCTACTTCTTTCTCTCTCAATGGACAAGTGTGTCCAAACTACGCTCCGCTAATTATTCCTCTTTGCTTTAAGTCCCACTTGTCTTTGCGCCAACTCTTATTTTCATCTATCTTTATTACATTCTAGTACTCGTCATAAGTTTGTCCAGCTTGATCAAAAGCTTCAACAATAATTCTATCATCTTTCTACTCCGAGATTCCTTTTCATCTTTCCGTTTGACTTTTACTTTAGGTCCTCATTCACTACTCTTATCAACAGCTATGTATCCTATATCAATATTCTTGATTTTAACTCTCTCTCAGAGCCTCGATTTTACTCCATACGCGATAAATCTAGATGCATTCTTGCTCTATCGCGTACTTTTTACTAAGCCTCGGCAAGATAAGGTAAAAGGTAATTGGATAATGCATGGGCCTCTATCTTTACATTACCTTTTACCTTACACTCAGCACTATGGTCTACCTTTACCCTTTACCTCTACCTTAGGGTAATTACCCGGTTACTTGGTACGGATTTAAAAGGTTTAAAAGTTACCCTTACCGTTAACCTATTAGGGTTACATGATAAATCTACCTTTACTAGTCTAATAGTTGCTACTTAATAGGGGATGTGACAGCAGTAGGGAGGTTGACTATGGAGGAAATGGCAGAGTTTTTTGAATTTGCAAGAACTAAGACACTCACTGTACACAAGATTGAGTTGGAGTTGACTGGAGTCTCATAAGGTTACATCTTTGAAGAGAAGATCATGGCAATGCGAGTCTTTGACTGGAGGTATGTAAAGGAGCTATGCAAGGCAAGTCGATACTTGGCTTCACAACTACTTAGAAGCACCTTAATATATGGATGACCATTTAAAGATCTGCACATTTTTGGTTCGGAGAGTATGGCAGAGCTTGCTGCATCCTGAGCCGAATGAATTCCGCTTTGCAGCGATCTTTCTCGAATAGGCTCTATGAGCACTATTTGAAGAAAGTAGTGAATGAGTACGAAGGTTCAGGCTGTGTGTGTGCTCATGAGTTATGATGTGCAAAACTCTTGTTGGCTCTGGCGAAGGAATACCTTTGTCTTTGTCTTTCAAGCCTACCTGAGAAGTGCAAGCATCCAGGGCAGACACTCTCGCTCTACTAGCTTCAAAAGTGTGAGTTATGTTTGGTGCGTGGATCAAAGAACTAGAGCTTCTAAAGTAAGAGTTTTTGCTATTCTCCCAAATTTAATCACCGCCGCGTCATTTTTTCATCTTGTCAATTGTTTGTCTGCGATTCTTCACAAGTGACATCCCTGAGAAGAGAAGTGTGTGGTCTTCCGGTCTTACAAAAATAATAGTAAACTTCATATTTTATCTATCCTGGTAAAATTATCAATTATATATATCGAAATCATACCTCATTGATGATCTGTGTGCGGATGAAAAGAGTATGCAAGAGCAAAAGCAATCAATAGCCAACAGCCTGAAAATTATCCGGGAAAGCCAACTGATCTATGGTTGATAAGAGAGCTTCTATTCAGAGCCGAAAAGGAATTATGTTCCAATGAGAAGTTAACTCAATACATCCTTCCAAAACTCGCAGATCGACCAAAGCATCATTGCGGCACAAAACATGAAAACTAAGCTTTGAATACCAAAAAGCCACAATGAAAGTAGATTTTGGAATTTGTGTACGGAATCGATCGGAATTACCAATTCAAGATAAACGTGCATTGTTGTTTTCTAGATGTCGTTGTCGAGGAGAATGTGCAGAATGCCACTAAGTAATTTTGTCAGTGTCCACGTTTTTGCTTTTCGCGGGTACGAGGTTCGTCAGGAGAATGTGCAGAAGAATGTCCATGTTTTTTTTTTGCGGGTTACTTAGTAATTACCAGGTAACCCACAATGCTCTACCTTTACCCTACCTTTATATTACCCTATAGCTAAACGTATTACCTTTACCCTTAACTTTTACACTTTTATCGGATAATACTAAAATATTACCTTACCTTGCCGAGGCTTACTTTTTACCTCGTTTCATCACTTTTCAGAGATCAATTTTTTACAATTCGGCTAGTTTGCACATTAATTTCCCCAAAAGTGCACATTTTCAAATAGTGTATAAGTTTGACCATCATTCCTTGTTAAAAGATCTTCAATCACGTCATACACTTGTAATGCAATTGCCATAAATTCTGTTGCATAAATTTTTAACATATCAAGATCCATCAATTTTGATAATCTTGCCAGAGGTGGTCAAACCCCTCCCTATGAAAATTTCATTTTGCCCATCATTGGTCTTATGCGTTTCTTCTATGATCCACTACTTAAAATTAACAATTATCCAGTACTTAACTTGAATATATTGCACATGCATAAACATCCAGCAAGATAAACAAGTAATATGGGAGTAGCAACACGGACATGAATTGAATGTCCATTGTAGACAAGATATTTTGAATAAATTAGCTCAAAAGAACGTCATCTTTCTAGATCCTATGACCTCAATTCTTCCTATTTAAAATCGTTGGTATTTAAAAGTAGACAACGTTAAGTAACATGACAATTACTTCCTACTAGTCTCATCAAACTTTGCTTCATCTTGTGCACTACATTCTTATATTTACTACCGTTAGTTCTAACCACACCTCCTCTTGTAATTGTACTAAATTACTGTCAAATCAATTTTTTGTCGTTTTAAAAACCAAATATACGTTTATATTTCACAATTGTTGTGAGTCTCAATAGCTATACTTATTCTACTTCTTTTGCACTAAAGACTTAATTCAAACAATGACCGTCTTGTGAATAAACGGTGTTGCCAAGTCCTACAATCATTTCGTTGATTGCAAAGCAAGTTGAAAATGAATCACGTTGCGTTCTCCAAATTGAAAGTAAATGTCAGTAAAAGCTCACAAAACCAACAACAATAACCTAATCACATTTTTTCATTTGCGTTACATCTTACCAACACGCAGATATCACTCTACCTATCAATTAGTCTTCATTCCGCGAACAACGTCTATTAGTGATTTTGCTCTTCAAAATCCAACAAAACCTCATAAGGATTGACGATTTGACTACTATAATATCAATTTTCACAAGAATACACTAGATTATTATATCAAAGAAAATGCTACAGTAGTATTGCACGATAATAATTTTCATA